GGACGGAAGTCGGCCATCTTGTCCACTCATTTCTGGCGACGTTCACATTAAATTGTGCGAATAATATGTAAATTGTGTACCTGTCAAATAGGCTATTAGTACGAGTAATTTCCGATGTTGCAAGTGAGTTTAGTCTTACTGCTAAAACACTCATTGAATAGAGTTTAGAGCAGTCGATGTTCTTGGGCTTATTGCACACAAGTACAGTTTTTCCAATGGAGTTCTGATTTGTGTATTCGCACATGTCACTCCATACCCCCTCATTTATCAGACGACAAGTCGTTTCCTCGGTAAAGTTTTTGTCCATGTAAGTTCCTGTAAACTCAAGTAACTGCTCTTTTGTTTTCAATGAATCTTTGATATAGTGGATGAACTCCCTCACAAATGTAAGCGCTATGGTCATTTGAGCTTTTCCTGCCCAAGCCGCGTAGAAATACACGGAGTAAGTGCCGTTCCCATGGTCTATTACTCGACCTGCTGTGCTCTTTTGTAGATAATCATTATACATTCGAGCGGAAAAGAAATCTCCTCCCCTATTCCGTGGACGGACGTTGTCGTCAAATGTTACAATGGAGATTGCGATAAAAGTTCCCTTATATATATTCTTATCGGACTGCAATGTAGCTCTACAAAAAAAATAACATTGTTACAATTAGATAAAACTTAATTAATTATTTTCTTACAAAATTCCAATATCTAGCAAAATGTGTTTTCTGTTATTTAATTACCTGTGCAAACATTTCACGTTTCATATATTTTCTACAGTTATTACAATACCTTGTTTTGAAAACAGATGTTTGTCCTAATGTTCCATTTCCAAAGTCGAATGGTACTTCATGATTCCTGGGTTCAACATTCATGTGTCTGTTCACCCATTCAATCTCATCAACAATATCCACCCACTCCATTCCAAATCGATTGTAATCAATGTATGGAAACAATGCATTGAAACTTCTATTAGTTTGGTCTTTAAATGGTGTCCTAGAGGTTTTCCCAGCGGATTGGTGTGCTCTGGTCGTGGGTTTGAGAATCATTCTTGTCGGTATTGTTGTTCACTAAGCATTTGTGTGCAGTTTCTCGTGAATGAATCCTTCCCTCATGTAATATAGAGACCTAAATAACATCGGAGAAGACGGGAAATAAAGATTACCACTTTATCAGTATTAATGTATCATTGAAGGCACAACACAAATAGAAATTATTAAATCCATATTTTACATACTATTATTTTGAATACTAAAATGAAATTGTAATGGGATGTAGATGAAGCTTGTGGACATGTAAGTCGAAAGAAGTCTGAAATTGATATAGATTAAGAATATCTAGCATGCCAATTTGTTTTTATTAAGGCTTGCTTGTGAGTTTGGGCGTAACAGCCTAAAAATAAATACCATTCTCACATGGCTGAATGTATATGACATCACATACATGCAAATTACATACCTGAATCTTATGGTCATGTCAATACTACTATAGATGCTGTTCTTCCCTTTCTTAAACTAAGAGCATTTCAAAATTTCAAAATATACGAGTGCATGCATGGTCTAAATAATCTTAATACCAATGGCTGATACATATTTATTTTGGAAAAAAAGATCAAACATAAGTCCTGCACAGATGTATTGGAAATGGCTGTTTACACATTCAATCAAATTCTGTTGCACATGTTC